CGAAGTCAGAGTTTTCTTAATCCTCTGCTTACACTTCAGGATAATGTCTTAGTTAATTATTCCAAGTGAACGATGCTTTTTTTTACCATCAATTTTTACTCGAATTAAAATAAGGTTGGACTGTTTGAATCAGACTATAGGATTTTGATCTTTAAAACAAATAAAAAACTTAAAGATTTGAAAGGGGGAAACCTCCCAGAACCCATCGTATTCTCCAGACTTCGCTCCTTCTGATTTCCATTTGTTCTGGTCACAACAGAATTATTTAAATGACAAAAAAATTGACCCTGTACAGTCAGTCAAAAACTGCCTTTCAACCTTCTCTCAACAAAATACACAAACTTTCTCCGAACATGTCATCAACAAACTTGTAGAATGATGGGAGACATTTATTTAAAATAATGGAGGCTATATACTTGAGTAATTGCGAGTATGTAATTTGTTTTTAATTTATGTGGTACAAACTTTTGCAATGATCTAATATATATATATATATATATATATATATATATATATATATATATATGACAAATATATATATATATTAAGAAATATAGTCTTAAGGTGTGCTATATTTATGGAATAAGGTGCTCAATATCAGAGAAAAGAGTGTGTAAATATAAAAGTGAACATTGAAGTCAACACTTAGAGGCGAAAGTCTGTTTCATGCTAGACGTAATCGTCTGGCCACCTGACAACGTCTAGCATGAAACAGACTGTCGCCTCTAAGTGTTGACTTCAACGTTCACCTTTATATATATATATATATATATATATATATATATATATATATATATATATATATAAAATATCTGATATGGGAGATATTTATTTAAAATAATGCAGGCTATATACTTGACTTATTGCGAGTGTCTATTTTTTAAAATTATCTATCTAGTACGAACTTTTCAATAATATATATATATATATATATATATATATATATATATATATATATATATATATATATATATAGGTTTCAGCCAACTTAGATCTTCAAAAATTTAAATGAAATTTCAGTTGTCATCTACTCTTTTCTTGATTCCTTTTCTTTTATTCTACTCACTCCTTAATAATGTTTATCTTTTTCTTATTCTTTCAAACTCAGTAACCCCTTGTGTCTTGTTTTGAGTGGGGTGAAATGATTAAAAAAAATGAGTTTCGGACTGTTGCATCCAAATGTACCCAATGTTTTGCCCGTTTTCTTTGTCAAGGACACAATATTGTTTGTATGCCTAACACTGTTTTAGATTATCATTTTAGAGATTCAACGTTCTTATTTCCGTTCCCAGTATAAGAATCATTTGTTTTTTCTGTTCTCTTAAAAATGATTGCAACATATCAAAAGAAGAGAAAAGATAGCGTTGAAAAGACAGCGTTGCTAAATCAAAAAGCGCGCGAAAAAATATTTGCTCTAATTATAAGGCGACATCTGAGCCCGGCTGCTGATAAAGTCGGTAATTATTGTCGTTTTTTCTTTTTTTCTTTTTCTTTTTCTTTTCTTTTCTATTTCGATTTTATTTCGATTTTCAGCTTAAAAGTTATTTTTTTAATGTTCATCACGGATTTTATATTTCCTGTTTTTGTTCATACAATCCCACTATTGTTATGGTCTTTCTTTCTTTCTTTCTTTCTTTCTTTCTTTTTTTTTTTTTCCTTCCTTCCTTTATTTCTTTCTTCCTTTCTTTATTTCTTCCTTCCTTTCTTTATTTCTTCCTTCCTTTCTTTCTTTCTTTCTTTCTTTCTTTCGTTCGTTCGTTCGTTCTTTCTTTCTTTCACTTGTGCTTTATATTTTCATTCTTTTTACTTGCTTTCTTTTTTTTTTTTGAACTAAGCTTTCTTTTGTTTCCTCTTTCTTTCCTCCTTTCTTTTTTTCTTTCTTTTGTTTCTAGTTTCTTTCTTTCGTTTGTGTTTTGTTTGTTTCTTTATTTTTCTTTTATCTCTCGATTTCCCCTTCAACCTTTATCCTTCATCCTATGCTTATCTTCCTTTCTTTTGTCTATCTATTTTCTTTCTTTTTTCATTCCTTTCTTCTTTCTCTTTCTTTTTCGTTTGATTGTTCTTTCTTTCTCTGCTTCGTAATTCCATTATTTACTTCTTTATTTCTTCTTTCTTTCTTTCTTTCTTTCTTTCTTTCTTTCTTTCTTTGTTTTTTGTCCAACACTTCCAAACATATTCAGTTTTTTTCAGTTCTCCACTCAGATTGTGCATTTCTTGTTTTCCCTTCCTTTCTTCCTCTTTTCTTTTCTACTTTTTTCCTTGTCTTTCCCTTCTGTATTTCTTTTTCTATTTTTTCTTTCTTTTTTAGTATCCTTCTTTTCCTATTTATTTCTTAATTTTCCTTGTAATTTTCGGCCATTTTGAAACATTTTCAACTCGTTTTTATTTCCTCCTGACTTCTTTACATAATTATGTTCGTCTTTTTTTATTTCTCGTTCTGCTTTTGCTTTATTCTTTATTTCCCATTCTACTTCTATTCACCCCTTTCTTTTATTATTTTATTTTTTCTTTCCTTCTTTCTTATTTTAAGTTCCTGTCTTTCTCCTTCATATATTTCTTTTTCCAGTTATCATGTTCTTCTTTAATGTCCTTTATATCATTCCTTTCTTACTTTCATTCTTTTACCTTCGTAATTTTTTTTTTGTTTATCCATATTTTTCATTCTCGTTTTCCGTGATTTTTGCTTGAAGTCATTCTTATTTTCCTTCAATAGATTTATCTCTTTGAAATATACTTTTTACTTTTTTCATTCACTGATTCTATCATCATTCTAATACTGGGATTCTTCTTTCTTCTTCACTCTTTATTTTCCGACCTCCATTTTGTTTTTCCTTTCTGCACTCATTCACACTCCATGCCAGTGTTTATTTCGCCTCTTATCTTTCTTGATCCTCATTTACCTCCTTTTTATGAATTTGATATTCATTTTGTTATTCCTCCACTGCCCCGTACTGCCATAAACACCTTCAGTTTTTACCAGCCGATCTTTGATCATTTCTAAGGCGCGAAAATATATAACACTGTATTCGCCTTTTCCAATATCCGGATGCGATCTCACCGACTTCTTTCTTCATGGCGGTACGGCTACCATTTAGAGACGCGCCAATGATGGCACAAGAGGTTGGCACTGAGAACCTTTCCAAGATCTTCGTTGTTCTAACGAGGAGAATTTGGTTTCACTGAGGCATTAAAATTCAATAACATCTGATGAAATCTGTTCGGCGTTCTAATTTTTATTCATTTTCTTTTTCCCCCCGGCAGCAACCACAATAATTATATGGCTCTTTCGACAGACGAAGACGTGTTACTGAAATTAGTGAAATGTAGACGTGAGTGTGGCACTATTGAGGAGACTATCATTTAACAATATATAAAGCCGGCAGTCACTACGTGGGCAAATCCTATTGAATAATAATGGATCAGTAACCGAGAACGAACAAATGAAGTACATGCGTGATACGACCATCTTGACTGAAGCGATTGGAGAACAATCGTATTGTGATATCAACCAGGAATGGATTCTGATAGATATTGCGTTATCTTGGGTTAAGAACATCGTGAAAGCGGAGCTGGTTCATGTACAGAGGATCCATGAGCTGGCAGGTCAGAATCCATGACTTGTACCAAGCATCATCTCAAGTTGTCCCTTTTGTGGTTGTTGGACACAGAAATATTTTCAAGAATGATTCTATCTCGTTATATGCTTGGAGATGGCAGACATCATTGGGAGTACATCGGTGGCAGTGCTGCTTCAAACAGCACAAGTGTTGAGGAAAATGTTGTGTCTCTGAGTCGCGGACAAGAGATGAGATATGTCCATCTTCACCCAACCAAAGCATCTTTCCAGGAACCCTTCTAACTTAGAAGACGCTTGGATGGTGCCAGATATCATTGGGAGTACACCGGTGGCAGTGCTGCTTAAAGCAGCTCATCTGAGCCGCGGACAGGAGCTGAGATATCACCCTCTTCACCTGGCCAGTACATCTCTCCTTCCTAACTTGTAAGATGCTTGGATGATTGGGACTATACGAATGGTAGTGCTGTTTGAAATAACTTATTTTCTGAGGAAAATGTTGGGCCCCCAAGGTACGGACAGAAGTTGACATCGGCCGTAACATCTTTCCAGGGATATTTCTACATCATAAAACGACTGAAGGATACCTTACATAATTGGGAGTTCACGAGCTGCAGTGTTGCTTGAAACAGCTCATGTGCTGAGGAAAATGTTGGGTCACCAAGCGGCGGAAAGGAGCTGAGATGTTACCATCTTCAACCGGGCGAAGATTCCAAGAATCTCAAATTAAATATGATAATGATGCTGACGTCGACAACACCCCTTGAAGCAAGAAGTCCAGACATGATTTGTGTCTAGGAAGGAAGGCAAATAGTGCTGGATCCTCGATATCAAGGGAACGTAAAAAGATTTGAGAAAGAAAAGGAGGAAATATATGGAGACTTGAGACGTGAGATTGCACGATTCTAGAAGCTTAAGTATGTAGACATCTTTACTGTTGTTTTGGATGCACTTAAGGATGCAACCGACAAAGTCCAAGAAAATTGCTGGCTCAAACAAGGACTGTGATTTTTGTTATAGTGGAACACACCGTTAATAGACTCTCGCACCTAAAATAAGTAGGAGTAGTAGGAGTCGCTCAAAAGTTGGTCAGCCAGTCGACTGGCTGATCGGTTGAACTCTCTGCCTTCGGGCGGGGAGGAACCCGAAGGAGGCAACGCTGAAGGGCGGATTCTCTTTCCGGGAGGTAAACCGACCCTGAACCTGTTTATATGGGTTCAATGGGCATATTTTTGGCCGAGCCCACGGGCTCGGAGATCTGACGTTAAACCGGCCTTGTGCCACATGATGCCCTCGTGGGGGGTGACTAAATATCGTTGGTCAGTCAGTCGATGTCGGACGACCGTTAGTCGGATATTAAAGTATCAACCATCACAACTATATTGCTGCGTCATTACCTATTATATCAAGTTCCTAACATTTTGTACGTCGAACCTATTTTAGGACCGACTTAGTACAAATACAAGCCTCCACTGGGAAACCACTCTACAACAATTTTGAACGTAGTTGCTTCAGAAAACACAACTGCTTTCAGCCAGAACTCTGACTCAGATTTTTTTGATGACGAAAGGCGAAGAAATCCTTGTCTTGTGCACCTGTGTTAATAGTTTCACATTTATTTTATGCATATAATTCAGATTTATTTATATTTCTTCTAAGTTTAAAAATTATTTTCTAATTTTTTATTTCATGTTGGATTTTTGACCTTTCTTTTGTAGCAAAATATTTATATACGACTTGTTAATCTTGTTCGCGAATGTTTCTCTTGAGACCAATTCCTTACCGAATAATCACTCGTAACTTAGCGAAGGGCAAGGTAGTAAATATATATGCATCATGTTTGCACAAATTATGTTAATCGAAACTTAACATGCACTGTGTTTATATTATCATTACACTGATAATAATTGTAGGCAGTCAAAACAAACTGAAAGTCTGTCATTTCAAAATTGAAATCATTCTTTTCTGCAAACATTAAAACACTGTCACATTGTGTCTGGGAACGTTTACAAATCCCAGTATAAATTTATGATAATTGCTTGTTTGTTTAAAACAATTTTCATGTTCAGCTGATACGAATCTAGTTCGGATAACGGAGACAAACTCGTCGTATCATCAAAGCATCGTTCATATTTCTTTTTTGGTTTTTCTGCTTTACACAAAACAGCTCATGATGTGTCTGCTATAGAGTTATATAGATCATGAGTTCGTTTTCTAGAATATTTCACATTAAATAAACGTAGATCTTATCGAATTCTCCACATTTGGTGGTGTCCTAGATTAATCTTCGGATTTTGGTGTCACATTTTCTGTTGTCTCTTATAAAAATTCCAAGATGATTAAATATCTGAACTTGGTCGATTTTGACGTCGCCAATGCATAGCTTGCATTTTGCGTTGTAGAGGAACAATGGGTTATGCTGGAGACAATATATTCTGTCTTTTTCTGCAGGCGATGATACATAATGTCTACTATTGCTGTCGACAACACATTCTGTCTTGTTTTGCAGGCGACAATACATTTTGTCTTTTTTTGTAGTCGGCAACACATCGTCTTCTTTTTGGCACAATATATTCTGTCGACAATATATTCTGTCGTTTTTTGCAGTTTGTCTTTTGCAGGCGACAATATATTTGTCTTTTTTTTTATTCAGCGGCAACACATTGTCTTTTTTGCAGGCGACAATTGTCTTATTTTGAAGGCTGTTATTCTGCCTTTTTTTTTTTTTCGGCAACAATAGATTCTGTTGTCTTTTGCAGTCTGTCTTTTTGCTGTCACATTGTCTTCTTTTGCAGGCGACAATATATTCTGTCGTCTTTTGCAGGCGACAATATATTCTGTCTTTTTTTGCAGTCGGCAACACATTGTCTTCTTTTGCAGGCGACAATATATTCTGTCTTTTTTGCAGTCAAACACATTGTCTTTTTGAACAATATATTCTGTCTTTTTTGAAGTCGGAAACACATTGTCTTCTTTTGCAGGCGACAATATATTCTGCCTTTTTTTTGCAGTTGGCAACACATTGTCTTCTTTTGAAGGCGACAATACATTCTGCCTTTTTTTTGCAGTCGGCAACACATTGTCTTCTTTTGCAGGCGACAATATATTCTGTCTTCTTATAGTTGATGGCTCGTCTTTACTAGCTTGTCACATATTTTTGTGTCTGCCATCAACATAAAGTATTCTACGTATTTTTTGTTTAGACAGATCTACGCTTGTGTTGCGATAATTGGTGAGATATTTAAAAAGTTGAATTTCAGAGAGAGTATACTTTTAGCTGCCCGATTTCTAAAATACCAAATTAAATTTATTGAATTTGCTTATACGACATTAGCTTTACGCAAAAACGATTTTAATAATAATTTCATTAATTTTCTCGGATATAAAATATTTCGTTTGGTTTTAGTTTGTGTTTTTAATAGTCGTCGTCATCATTGGCGGAACTCATTGCTGAATATTAATGTGTTCAATGACATTTCTTTCTGTACGAAATGTGTCATATATTGGATCTGAAAAGACGTCCGTAGTCATCGTATAGTACGGTAGGAGGGTTTAGGGAATGGAGAGCTCTGGCTTTTCTTTGGGTTCTCTTCGTCTCTTCTATTTGTCTTCTGGGGTTTTCGAAAGATGTTCTTTTTGTTTTTCGGGAATGTTCTTCTCCAGTTGGTTCTTTCGGCAGCTTCCGTCCCGCAATTGACCGAATCGACTTCTGTACTCATCAAGGTGTCTTTTAGCTAATCGTTGAATCAACACTGTGGAGCTCTACGTAATCCCTTGACAGAAACGAGCTCCGAGAAGATTTGTTTTGAGTAGGGGAATGCCTCGCATTCTGGCAATGTTTCCGGCCCATAGAAGTCGGTAAATGCTAAGCTAACCTAAAACTCAACATATTTCTAAACGCCTTGAGAAAGAGAAAAAAATACTCATAAAAAAAATGAAATTTAATATTCAATATACTTGTTAAGAATAACATCATCATAAAGAAAAAAATATTAAATTAACTTTATACGACAAATGATGGCAATTTTATATCCATTCCGTCGTGTAAAATCAGATTAGACGGAAATTTTTGAGAAGGCAATTCTTTGTCAAGAATTAAAAATAGTAAATCATTATTAAAATTCTTGCGAGTCTTTTAACATTTGTAAAAAGAAAAGCTAGAAAAACTGGGAAAAACTATTTCTTTTGGGTAAAATTACGAATTTTTTTTGCTTAGGGCACATCATTGTCAAGACGGATTAATAGTTTTTCATTAATTTTATGGAGTAAAAAAGCTACATTACAATATATGAAACGTGTTAAAAGAAATTTATTTGGAGATAATTATGTGGAGCTCTTCTAAATTAAACTTACTTTATTTTCAGGGCGTAGATGGTGATGGCTCTCCACAGCTTTCTTTTATTCAATAACTGTTAATTTGCATAACTCCTTGGCAAATATAGTCGAGAGATCTTCCTGTTGTACCGATTTAGTAATTCTAGCCTTGCTGCATCTCAAATTTCGTTTATGCTTTTGGTTGGTTATTTGTTTTTGTTTAGCGGCTTACCAACTTCTATCTCTATGGGTTAATTAATGCCAAAATTTAAATATTCTGTACATTTAGGGGTGGGGAGGTAATAATAGTTTCAGTGATAAAAGACTTACTATTTAACCCTCTGTTGGTAGGAGCGGCGAGAAATGGAGTGGATTCATTTCTTTCCCAAGGATATTTGCACATAAGTGAATATAACGTATGAATCACAGCAGGAATTGAAACTCGCCGATTAACAATTTCGAGTCGTTATCCTTTACACCACACGCACATCCACGTTGGCAGCACCTACCATTCCCAAGCGGGTATGTAGGTATTGACCACACCCAACTTCGCTGATCGTATGTAAACAGGTGCTTCAACGTGATATAGCCTTGAGTCTTTTTTATCATATTAGAAACAGAAATAGAGGTTACACAAAAAATTAAGATAATCAATAGTTGGCTTGGCACGGTGGAGCAATGGATAGCGTCTCGGATTGAGGAAGCGAAGAGCCGAGTTCGAATTCCAGTCGAATTCATTACATTCACCCTTAGGAAAGGTATGAATCCTCTTCGTCTCCTCCCAGCTATGGGTAAATAGCAGAACAGACCGGGTTCTATAGCCTTGGATGGCAACTGATCTACCGTAGAAAGAAATGGCAACCTTCATGGCACATGACTGACATGAGGTATTATGTACAGTATTTACATTAGTCGGACTATTGTCCTCATATTTGTCACAATGTTTCGGCCGTTGTACGCTCCGGCCTTCTTCAGGTAGTTGGAATTTCGAACTGAACCCTTTATTTCGATCACTTGGGTAGACTGTTCTAGTGCCATGTTTGATGGATGTCAGTTATCTCCTGCTAATTTTCCCTCTGAAAGTTCTCCACTGCCTTAACCGGGTATTGAACTCACCTTCTTTGGGTCTGTCAACGCCTTTATCCACTGTGCCATGTGTCCTTGAGGACATCTGAGTGTTATAAACCTAATGTTTTCAGCATCATTTTTACCAGTGCTCATATTGCAATTTTGCTGTTATCATTGCATGTCTTTACCAGAGTTCATATTGCAACTTTGTTATCATTGTTTTCTCTGGCACTCCTTATTACTGGTTCCCATATTGTATTTATTTCTATGCTTGGTCGGCTCAGGAGATTTTTGTGGCCTAGCATATGTGCTGATTCCTTAAAGTTTACGAATTTTCCAATGGTGTTCCCTGTCTATGATCTCATCATGATCCCAATAAAAGTGATCTCCTTTTAATCTCCATATATGGTCAGCTACGCCTGACATATTAAATGAAAAATGTTTAACATTCTTCCAAGATCTAGATTCATAAATCACGTTTTTGAGTGAATTTCCCTGAAAAAGTTTGGTTTTTGCAATAAACATAAAATAATATACCTACAAAGTCGAAAATAAAATATATATATATATATATATATATATATATATATATATATATATATATATATGTGTGTGTGTGTGTGTGTGTGTGTGTGTGTGTGTGTGTTTTTTTTAGTCTTGTTTGTTGAGACAAAAAAAGAATGATGCAGGCTTCGATGGAGTTAGGTAGCCAGATATAAGGGATGATTATAACCATGGAATATTAGTGTTTGAGTCTTTTATATTATATTTTTATGTTTTTATATATATATATATATATATATATATATATATATATATATATATATATATATATATAAATATAAGTACGCAGGGGTTAAAAGAGAGTAAAAGTCAGAGAAAACAGTGGGTATAGGGAGTGGAAAGCATAGAAGATGAATGATATTCAAGAAGACATAAGATAGCGATTGACGTTGCATTTAAATCTTTGAAGACAGTAGTTTCAAAGGAAGAAAGTAAATATAAGGGAGTTCTACATGCGGGAGGTGCGAGAAAACAAAATATTGTCATCGAAATGGAAATTTATGTTCGTCAGAGCAATTGCCATGAAAATATTTCTAGAAAAGACTGATGTTGAGATGCCAAGTCGTGATCGATTGCATGGCAGAGCTTTGTTTGGATTTTGTCAAGAACCTCGAAATGAATAACAAGAGGAAGTGTCTTGTCTTCACGTTCTCGTCTCGATAGAGTCTAAAAGCGTAAAAAATCCCTGTGGTTGATGAATTATTTTCCACCCTACATCCCTTTCCCGTTGCAAGCCTTTTGCTGATCTATCGCTATTTCCATGGCAAATGGTCAGACGAACTACATTTCGTAGGTCCACTAGTTCAGACCTTCACGGCTAAGCCCGGCCATTCACGCACACTGTAACCAACAACCTTCATTCCCTTAGTTTTCCATTGGTGACCTGTTCCACTCGAAGAGCTTCTTTACACAAATTGCTGATTTGTGGAGCCAACTCCCAAGTCGATGCTTCCCCGATCACTACAATCTTAAACCTACATATCCGCACAAACAATACCTCTTCCTCAGTAGCTGTCTGCCTCGAGTGGCTCTTGCGCTTTTTACAAGGTAAAAATCATTGTAAAAAAACTGAAACTAAAAACCTTTGTAAATGTGAATCTTTATATTTCTAAGACGAAAATCGACGAAGCAGCGCGTTCACGCTCGAGGCATAACGAAGCAAATATGGGTCAACGTTAAGAGTCTCTATGGAGAGAACGAATACCAGAGTCCATGGAGATTTAAAGAAAGACAGTTATTGAACACTTAGGTGAATTCGTACCCGACAGAATGGCTTTTAGTTATGGATATTACTCTTCTCCTTGGTCTGAAGGAATGGTGAATGAGACGGATGTAAGGTAATTAGCTTCTTTTTTTTTCTTCTTTTTTTGTTTTGTTTTGTTGTTAATCTGCTTAGAATGTTGTATAGTATTCGGCATTCTCAATTTAATTTTTTTAAAATTTTTAATAAATATAATTTCCTCTCAGTTATAAATTAGATTTTTCTTTTAAGAATTATTTTAGTCGACCTGAAAGAAAAAAAAAATCCTGCTTTTTGCATTTATTATCGGTGAAATGTTTTCGATAAAGTTTTCTTTTTTTACTTGATCAAATTTTCTGACTTTCTTTCTTTGCTTACAGCATTTTTTCTTTTCTCCATTTTTTTTATTTATTCTTCTTCACCCCCTCTCTCTCTCTCTCTCTCTGTTTAATTGGGCTTCCTTTTTCTCATCACCTTTTGCTTTCATTCGCTGTTAAATTCAGCTTTGCTCTCTCTCTCCTCTCTCTCTCTCTCTCTCCTTTTAAATTTTAAATATATTTTTTTTTGCTCATCACATTTTCTTTTCATTCTCTTTTTTTATTTTGATCTTTTTTTTTTTCCCCTCTCTCTCTATTTTATTGGCCTTTTCTTTCTCTTAATCACATTTTGCTTTTTTCGCTCTGTTTTTTATTTAGCATTCTGCTTCGCTCTGTTTTCTCTCTCTTTTTTATTGGCCTTTCTTTCTCTCATCACATTTTTGCTTTCATTCTGCTCTGTTTTTTGCATAGCATTCTGCTTTTCTCTAAAATTTTCCCCTTCTCTCTTTCTTTTCTATTTTATTGGCCTTTCTTTCTCTCATCACATTTTGCTTTCATTCGCTCTGTTTTTATTTAGCATTCTGCTCTCGCTCTCTCTTTCTCTCCCCCTCTCTCTCTCTCTATTTTATTGGCCTTTCTTTCTCTCATCACATTTTGTTTCTTCCCCTCATCTTTTTTTTTAATTTCTGCTCTGTTTCTTTCTTCCCCTTTTCTCTCTATTTTATTGGCCTTTCTTTCTCTCATCACATTTTCATTCGCTCTGTTTTCTTTAGCATTCCTCTAGAACCACTCTTTCTCTCCCCTCAAAAAAACTATTTTATTGGCCTTTCTTTCTCTCATCACATTTTGCTTTCATTCGCTCTGTTTTTATTTAGCATTCTGCTCTCGCTCTCTCTTTCTCTCCCCCTCTCTCTCTCTCTATTTTATTGGCCTTTCTTTCTCTCATCACATTTTGCTTTCATTCGCTCTGTTTTTATTTAGCATTCTGCTCTCTTCTCTCTCTCTCTCTCTCTCTTTTTATTGGCCTTTTTTTCTCTCATCATTCATTTTTGTTTCATTCATTGTTTTTATTTAGCATTCTCCTCATCACTCTATTTTTGTCTTTCTCTATTTTATTGCTTTCTTTCTTTTATTTTAAAAGCATTCTGTTTTTATTTAGTATTTCCTCGCTTCTCTTTCTCTTTTTATTCTCTCTTATTTTATTGGCCTTTCTTTCTCTCATCACATTTTGCTTTCATTCGCTCTGTTTTTATTTAGCATTCTGCTCTCGCTCTCTCTTTCTCTTTCTCTCTCTCTCTCTATTTTATTGGCCTTTTTTCTCTCATCATATTTTTTTCATTCACTCTGTTTTTATTTAGCATTCTTTGCTCGCTCTCTTTTTTCATCTTCTTATTTTATTGGCCTTTTTTTTCAATATTTTGCTTTCATTCTTTCTTTTTTTTTTAGCATTCTGATCTCGCTCTCTTTGAGCTTTATCTCCCTCTCTCTCTTCTCTATTTTTTGGCCTTTTCTCTTTCTTAATCACATTTTGCTTTCATTCGCTTTGTTATATTTAGCATTCTCCTCTCACTTTTCTCGATCTTCATTCATTTTCCTTCATTTTGATTTAAGGCTATTGTGGAGTAAATGAGACACTCCCGCTAATGCAAATGAACTAGGCAAGACGACTTAAATAAAGAACTCAGAGTGAGTCAGGAGAGGTTCGTTGGAGTCAGGAGAGGAAAATTTCTAATGAGCGAGCTATACCAAATGCCCACGGCTGCATCACGTCGAAACACCGTTTCCTGTACAAGCCCTGAAGAAACGTCGGACCATGTGGGTAACCGCTTGGGAATACCACGTGCTATGTGCGGGTGATGTGATGGATAATGGCGATTTACTTAGCGTAGCTAAGTTGTGGCAAAATATCGAATACCAGGCACTGTAATCTTGGACGTGTGAGTGATGTAATTGATAATGGTTCGGAATTGTTAATCGGAGAGCTAAGCCATACAATGGAAAGGGTGACAGATGTAACTTTTGTTTGTTGGAGAAGCTTATGATATTAAAATACTTATATAATCCTAACTTGCTGAAGACGGGGTACGAATAATTCCAAGTACGTGCTCAAACACATTGACTCCGATTAAAAGGGATTACAAAATAGATGTTACAAATTTTAATCTAATATTCAACTAGTATTAATATTCTTAGAACTCATCATTAATAATATTTCTTAGATATCTCTAGACACATATAACCCAATATCATTGTAGCCGATTAATTTATAGCGTGTGTGTATATAACATCACCTTAAAGTATAAGGCTTGGTTCCAAACACATTAGATATATAGCCCCGACATATTATTTTTATTTGCACCCTTATATTATATTTACACCCAGAGTACTAAGTTTACTTTAATTGGTATCCTTGATAGTATGGTATCTGTTGAAACTTGACTAATGCATGGAATAATAATGCAACACAAAATGTACTTAGAACAAAATGTATTGAAACAAGAAAGTGTACACAATATTTACATATAGTCTTTTGTATATTCTTGGGAAGACCGTTCCTGGAGAATGTGTTGACTTAGTCGCAGTCGGGCAGAGTCTCTGGATTGAATCTCTTGATTCCTTCCCCCGTCTTCCCGGTACCAACCATATTTATATGGTCGATACTCCACTATGCAAATTAGGTAGATCCTACCACAACAGTATCCTTAATAGTTTGTTTGCTTTTAAATTTAAATTCAATTTTATAAATTTTTTTTAATTCTTCACCTTTCTAACTAAAGAATTTGAATATTATAAATTATTAATAATTAATTCTAATATTTTAGACAACAATAATTAAATAAACAAGTTTTAGCATACAATTTTGAATCATCACCGCGAAAACGTGAACACCATAACGGTCAGAATATGAAGATTGCACGACTGCATGAAACCCCGAGTCGACGTTAGATATTATGGATATTTAATATATACTATATATATTTATAGCTCCTGTTTCATAACATTGAGCACTGTATTTATAACACCTGATGAATAAATATATTTATACCTACAAGAATATGTGCATGCATGTACATTTTATCATACCCATATATATATATATGTGTGTGAAAATTTCTCGGCTTTAACCTGTAGAAAAGACAATATTCATAATATAATGACAATAGGAAAATTAAATTATTGTTGACGCGTTTCGTCCAATGTAGACGAAACGCGTCAGCAATAAGTAGAGTTTTCCTATTGTCATTTGTATATATATATAATGACAATTATATATATATACAAAATATTTTATTTCCTCGGGCGCTTATATATTTTCATCCACAGACGGAATGTTTCACTGTATCGCAGCTCATCAGTGTGGCTAGACATCCGATTGTCTCAAGCCAGGATTGAAACCCGACTGATTTGGCATCAGTCGGAGATTTTTCCCCTAAGCTATCAAGCTATCCCGGCAGAGAATGAATTTTTACGCATTTATTTTTGAATAATAAACACGCTGAGTGACTCAGAGAGCCTTGATTCATAGAAGAGCCTTTACATTATCAACAGTAGAAGTCAATGTTTACAAATTCGGACTTTCCCGCAAAAGTGCTCAACCGAATTTTATTTCCTCGGGCGCTTATATATTTTCATCCACAGACTGTTTCTCTGTATCACAGCTCATCAGCGTGACTAGACATCCAATTGCCTCAGGGATCGAAAACCGACTGATTTGATATATATATATATATATATATATATATATATATATATATATATATATATAACTGGGTTACAAAACTCATATCCATAGAACAGAATATATTAGCTCTATCACTGATATTGAGCACTTTCCATTAAGTACCGCACATATAATATACATAGAAATTATATATATATATATATATATATATATATATATATATATATATATATATATATCCAAGTATATAATTGGTATATACGGAATGAATTCCAATAATTCCAATTATATACTTGGATATTAGCTCCTATTACTGTCGAGCCATGTCTATTCTATTCTTATAATATGGATAGAATCAATTTCGGAGTATCACTTAAGAACATTCCCACTACGAACAAAAGGGATTATTTCGTACATTTAACTCTGCAAACGGAAAACCTTATCAGAAGAATGAGATGAAAAGCTTACTTCTTTCTTCAAGACAAGGAACCATTGTGTGAACGCGAAAATTATGGTTTTAAAAGCCTAAAAACTGCACCAATTATTAAGGAATTATCTGCTTTTGAAAATGAACTAATGGATACCGTCAAGGGATTAACCTTCCATAAGTATTTTAAAGATCTGAATAGCTATTATAACATGATTTCGTTGTCAAGCTTTTGAATCTTTCAATACTTGGTTTTTGATTGGTTATTCTAGCTTTTGTAACAATGTTTCCCCCTAGTGTAGGATCGTTAATTAATCTGAAACTTTTAAAACCATTTATTTTATCTTCAACATCATCACTTGATAAGACACCGAGGGTGTTGAAACAAAATGGCTATTTTTGTAGTGATTTTATAACATATGTATGTTATAAATTTTTTTTTATAAATAATAATTATATATATATATATATATATATATATATATATATATATATATATGGTTAGATAAATGAGATAAGTAGGTATTAGCGACCGTATACGCGTGTGCTGGCGTGCATATGCTGGTAAGCAAATAAATCATTATCAAATTTAGCCACGAGATGTAGACATAATAGTGCTCAATGTGATGAGGCAGAGCTAAGAAATATATATTAATAAATATTAATAAATACATATATCCCTACGTTTGATGTACGACTCGAATTTCATTGGTTACCCAATTCACTGGGCACAAGTTATCGCTAATTATATATAGATACATACATACATACACAGATAGATAGATAGATAGATAGATAGATAATATTAGTGGTAAATTATGACCATGGAATATTAGTGTTTAAGCTTTTTTATTATATATATATATATATATATATATATATTAATCTAACATGTTTCACTTTTATTAAAGATTTGTAAGAGACTGCTAGGAAACAGACAAAAATACAGAAAACAAAGAATCTACCTTATATCTATCTAATATAATGAATACATTCTTAAAAAGGCAAACCAGAAATTAGAAATTTGTGACTCTCCGCATCGCAGTTTAACTGCCCAAAGGTGTAAATAAATATCCCATTAGACAGACACACGTACACAATTACAAATACACTTAAACATCCGACGCCTACTAAGAAATTTAAAACAATTTTCACAAACCTACACATACACAGAATTATCCCCAGTTTTAATACACGTGACACGTTTTTGACCAATGAGAACTGACCCAAACATAATTGAAAATACAAATGATTCTTTTTGTCTGCTTTTCTCAATCTCTGACAAAGCTTTAATAAAAGTGAAACATGTTAGATTGATACAGGTTTCCTATTTCTTCTTTTATTATATACTCCTATCGGATCGCGATCCATATTTGATTTGCATTTAAATTTTAACTGATCTTTTACCTACTGACCCATAATAGCAAGATCAGCCTGTCCAATTAGCAGACTCACTAACCTAATAGACACCATACTACAATCATTTATTAAATAAATTAAGGGCTACATCAAATACGATATCCACTACCTTACCTCTATACGGAAAAAATAGATTCAGGATCACTCATGGCAACTTTTGACATTAGTGGCCTATATAGCAACATACCCCATAAATTAGATTATCAAGCAATCTCATTCTAGATTGAAAAACACACAAAAATACTACACCTCAGATTCATTATGTGAAATCTAATCCTTTTGAATTTGATAACCAAAACTATATCCAAACATTGGTATCGCAATGGGAAGGAAAATGGTACCAACATACGCCACTCTAACCTTAGTTTATCTAGAAGAAAACCTCTGTAAAAAGAGCAAATATATGAGGAAAATATAAAAATCCACTTCACTAAATCTTAAAAGCGATACTTAGATGATTAGAGAAATTTCAAAAGTTCGTTTTAGAAAAAATATCCGACCTTTCGACACTCACAAGTCAACATCAGGGTATGTAGAGACCAATAGGGAATTCCGTCGAATTTGTTAGTATAGTAACGTGCGCAAAGAGTTATGACATAAGACATCATGGCATGATGTGATGTGTATATATGTGTCGGGGACTCTCCCGTCGTTGATCGACGCGGGCTGCTGACCCGCGCTAACTGGGGACCCTTTTCACGACATATATGTCAAGCACCTCAGTTCATAGGAAACAAGAGCCAAACAACCTCCACATATGATTTGATTATAGTAGAGACGGTTTTGTGCAGAAGTAACCACATTTTTTGAAGAGCTGAACACAGAGACCC